GGGAGACCAGTGTCAAGGGGGAGACCAGTGTCAAGGGGGAGACCAGTGTCAAGGGGGAGACCAGTGTCAAGGGGGAGACCAGACCAGTGTCAAGGGGGAGACCAGTGTCAAGGGGGAGACCAGTGTCAAGGGGGAGACCAGTGTCAAGGGGGAGACCAGTGTCAAGGGGGAGACCAGTGTCAAGGGGGAGACCAGTGGGGGGGAGACCAGTGTCAAGGGGGAGACCAGTGTCAAGGGGGAGACCAGTGTCAAGGGGGGGGAGGGGGACCAGTGTCAAGGGGGAGACCAGTGGGGGGACCAGTGTCAAGGGGGAGACCAGTGTCAAGGGGGAGACCAGTGTCAAGGGGGAGACCAGTGTCAAGGGGGGAGACCAGTGTCAAGGGGGGGGTCAAGGGGGAGACCAGTGTCAAGGGGGAGACCAGGGCTGACTGGAGGCAAGGATATTCCCAGCTTAATGGAGATTAGGGTTCCCAGACTGGCAGCAGCTATCAGCAGACCTCTGCAGGGACTGACACTGGAACTGCAGGTACACATCTACCATTTGTAGTGTCAATAACTAAAGTATGGATTACGGTCTCAGGATACGCAAGCTGCCAGCTTCCCTGCACTCAGCAACATCTGAATCTTGAAACCCTTTACAGTTCTGCAAAGCTACTAACAAAATCACAAAATGTTTCTACTGCTATAACTTTATATATAAAAAGAAAGAAAATAAAAGTACTTATATTCTAAATATCTGCATATCTTCTATATTTCCAATGTTCAGGAGATCTGCTATACAGCCTGACAAGATTCTTCTTCAGGTGAAATCAGGGGCGGGTTACAAGAGATTATGGAAATGTACACACAAGGTCATCTGTTTAATGGCAAGTACTTTACAAAGACGGGTAAAATTCACAGCGCACTGGTAATACAAAGTACATAAATTTAGAACAATTCAGAAGGATCCATAGGATACAGCTTAATATGTATAAAATTAAACTTAAACTAAAAAAAAACCGGTAGAAACATGCGTCACAGCTAGTAGGGCCGTTCACGTCTGTCCTGTCTGTGGTCTCCCCTGAAAAAGAAGAAATAGAAGTGTGATGAGTGTGAACATACAAAGCCAGGCAATCAGCTTTGATATGGCACCAACCATGGCGGACTGACCATTCAGGAGCTGCCCAAGGGCCCGGGGTCAGTAGGGGGCCCCATGAAATGCCCCTGGTACCTTTTTATAGGCTTTTTTGGGTGTGCTTTGAGTGTGGGCGAGGTCAGAGGCCCCATGATCCCCTATTGCCTGGGGGCCCCATGAGTTGTCAGATCACCCCTGGCACCAACTATTCCAGCACCAACCGGCTTCTCTTGTATGCCAACTGTAGTGTTCCTTTTCCTACATGCTGATATCTTGTCACATCCACCATGACTGTTTGTCCGATTCAAAGCAGGCAATGGTCTTGTTGCTCATTTATGGTCAGACTTAGGCTGGCCATAGATGGGACGTTTATCGGCCAAATTGTTGGCTGATGAAAAAAAAAAAAAAAAAAAAAAAATTGTGTCGTTGCTGTCACCAATGCTTACAAAAAACGGCTGTTTTTCGTAGATTTTCCAGCATGACTGATATAAAGAAACGACAGGAGCCGTGAAAATCAGCCGATGACATTGCCCCACTAACGGCACCATGATTGGCTGATTTTATGTTCAACCGATAAACGTCTTATCTATAGCCACTTGGGGACCAACGCACAGCGACTGCGCTAAAATGCAGATACATTTACATCCATTTTAGTTGCGTTTTCACACGCGCCGATATCTGTTGACATACATTTCACAGTTGAGTGCAATGCAATGTTATGGCGTGAATAGGACATTCGAAATGGGTTTTCAGGTGTCCTGCTCATCTGCATTTTACAGTTGTGCTAAAATGCACTGTGATGTGGCCCCAAATTTAAGCCCCCGTTCACACTTCACCGTTCACACTTCACCGCCCCCGTTCAGATGAGGTTTGAACTGCATCCAATCTGCATGACGTGTGAAACAAAAGGTCTTCCTATGGTGCCTGTTCACATGAGTCTGGTGCACTGGCGGTGCAGATTCAGTGTGGTTTAAAAATACAAGTCCTGTACAACTGAGCAGTGCGGTCAGGTTCAGGTGCGTATTACAGGCCATTGACTTCTATGGGAAGTTTCTAAACCTGACGTGTGAACAGGATACAATCCTGTCCTGAACCTGACATGAACCAGTGAACAGCTACTGTATCAACTATTTATTTCAGGTACTTATATAGCTGTCAATTTACGCAGCACTTTACATATATATTGTACATCACATCAGTCCCTAACCCTCAAGGGCGTACAATCTAAGGTCCCTAACTCACATTCATACATACACATACTAGGGACAATTTAGACAGGAGCCAATTAACCTACCTGCATGTCTTTGGAGTGTGGGAGGAAACCAGAGTACCCACGCAGGCACAGGGAGAACATGAAAACTCCAGGCAGGTGGTGCTGTGGTTGGGATTCAAACCAACGACCCGAGTACTGCCAGACGGAAGAGCTAACCATTTAGCCACTGTGCTAAGTAATTACCTGTGAAACCTGAACGTCAACCTGCACCGCACATGTGAATCAGCTCTTACAGCAAAATGGTTAGCTCTTCCCCCTGGCAGTACTAGGGTTGTTGGTTTGAATCCCAACTATGGCACCACCTGGAGTTTGCATGTTCTCCCTATGACTGCGTGGGTTTCCTCTGGGTACTCCGGTTTCCTCCCACACTACAAAGACATGCTGGTAGGTGAATTGGATCTCCTGTCTACATTGTCCCTAGTATGTGTATGTATGAATGTGAGTTAGGGACCTTAGATTGTACGCCCCTTGAGGGTTAGGGACTGATGTGAATGTACAATATACACACGTAAAGCGCTGCGTAAGTTGATGGCGCTATACAAGTACCTGTAATAAAGACGCTGCCGTCTCGGGCTGATCTGTAGTTCCTATGGTGCTGCACAAACAGTTGACACCAGCCATTAGATGGCTGGACTTGATTCAGAGCACAAGTGACAGTTATTCAGAGCATGCCTCGAATGTATGTTTTGGGGAACCTTTTCATAGATTTCAATTCTACTTTACAAAAACCCAGAGGTTTTTGTAAATTACAGCTGATGGAAATGACATTACCTGGAATCCATTTTGCCTGGTCCAAATCCACCACCACGGTCACCGCCACCTCTGCCACCACGGAATCCACCTCTGTCTCCTCCCCTTCCTCTGAAACCACCACGATCAAAACCACCGCGTCCTCCACCACCTCGTCTCTCATCACCAAATCCACCGCCACCACCTCCTCCACCTCCACCTGAGTGAAAACAATACAGTACGTTATACAGTCGCCAAGCAAATGATCCGTTCAACCCTTGTAACCCAGACATTTTGCTCAAATGTGTTCAAAAAAGCCAGATGAAGCGCTGGAGCTGGTGACCCATCAGGCAAATGACTGGCTCTCTGCCAATCAGAGCTCTCTGATTATGTCAGTATTTCTGTGCTCAAAGCGGTACATTTTTTTTGCATGGAAATATGTCATTTATTGTAGGCCTGTAATTTTTAGGAATAACTCACTAAAATCTGTCCAAGAGTCTAGTAAACATCCCGGGGAGGATAAAATTTGAATCACGAAATCATAAAATACAATATAAATAGTCAAAAAATTATTATAATAAATTTAATTCAATATAATCAAAACCAAAAACACTGAAATGTGAAAAGAGCGCCAAGTTCGCACATCGCTGAGCAAAGTCGCAGAATCGTTTTCAGTGTCTTTGATGAGGAATTTCCCCCACGAATCATTATCACTCAATTCTGCAAGTGGTTCTGATTTACTATCGCTGTTCTCTAGCCGGTCTAAAACCGCGTCTGGCCTAAAGGGACGCTTTTTGGACGCCATGGACATTTGTTTCCAGAAAGAACCGAAAAAATGCAGGCAGGGCGCTGGACAAAGCACTCGGGACAAAATGTATGTGAAATGGGTTGATACAGGAATGTTATACTATGTGATTTTAGTGTATTGAGTGAATGTCTTTAAATTTCCCGCCAGTTCTGTCGCCCATATGTCCCGTACGCCCCGACGCCGCAGGGAACAGAACACGGAAGACAGATGCCGGCATCAGCCGGAGGACATTGCTGGGGACACTGCAGGGGGGACATCGCGGGAGCGGAGGACAAGGTAAGTGCAGAAAAGATCCCTATGCAACGCTGCAGAGTATTCCCGAGTGTAGCTCGGGGGGGGGGGGGTTACCGCTTGTGGTGCTGAAACTTTACCCCGAGCTACACTCGGGAATACCGCCAGGGGGGTTAATCTGTAGGGTTCGCCCACACAATGAATGAGCCAATATCTGCTCTGTCAACAAACAAGTAAACATAATCGCGCTTTCCATCAGGAAGTCTTCTTCAGGGATGTCCACCCCACGGACAAACAAAATTGTAAAACATAAGTTTTTTTAAAAATGCATTTACACTTAAACACATGCAGCCAAAAAAATGTGACCGCATCTTTTTACTGGACTTTTTTTTTTTATCTTTCCATAGAAAAACCTCCCACTCCCTCCATATTCATGTCATATTTAGGCAGCACTTCTATATGTCAGCAACTATTTAAAAATGAAGACAACGAAGGGCACAATTAAACCCAAAATATCAGATGAGCACCTTCAGAAAATGGCTACTATAGGCATCCAACCCGATATTTGTGCGTTTACCAAAATTCGTGCCAGATAACCAACTAGTTTTATGTTGGCCTCTTAAATAGTTTATTACTCAAAAAGGTACATAATCTATCAGTGATCGGTAACTTGTGATCTGTGCGACTTTCTGCCCATCAGCTCTCATTGGGTGGCCCGAGAATTCCACTTCCAACGTGGCCCAGGAACGTTAACACGTTGGGCACTCCCGCTCTAACGGAAGGTTACCATTGTGCGGTCTCATTGGTGTACATTTGACAAGCAGGCAATTGTTCATAGAACACTCACCCATGTGTGAACCTCCAGGTCCTCCGGGACCATCGGGTTTGGGAGCCTTGCACTGGTTGCACTCATTCCTCCAGGAGAAGTTCATGTTCTCACAGGATCTGCAGGAAGGAAGCCGTAACAATCGGTGAGGTCATACTCTACACAGGGATGTCATGATGTACATCGGCAAGGTGAACCCAACTTACGGGTTGGGGCATTTCCAGTCTCCAGCCCTCTGCTGTCCTCCACCACCACTGGGGAATCCTCCACCACCACCACCTCCTCGGTTGCTGTTTCCACCACTAGGACCACCAAACCCTCCACGTCCCATGGGACCTACCAAAGCAAAAAAAAAAAAAAAAAAATTGAGCTATACTAGAACAAGGCAAGAGCTCCTACAGTCACTGGAAATAGTTCAAGCCTGTTGCCGCTTGGTGTATGCAAGATGTGGGAAACATGACTATGGCCTTTAATGCCATGCTGCCTGAGCGGATGCTGGTTGGTGCCAAGAATGAGAGCCCAGCTCTGACCGCCATCAGCAGCTCTGGGTCACCGACGTTGCTGGGATGGGCTTTGCAATACATGACCATTGAGAGCCACTGATCACTAATCTGTCTACAGGCCTGAAAATCAATGACTGGCAGTAAGGGGTTAATATAATTATATCAAAATGTATCACTATAATTGGTTGGAAATGAATGGATTGTATCCAGGCCAAGACACCTTTAAAGTGTTACTAAACCCCGGACCCTGCATTCCCTATCCCCAGACCCCCCCCATTCGCTATATCCACTCTACCCGGACCCCGCATTCGCTATACCCGCTCCCTCTATTCACTATACCCGCTCTCCCCGGACCCTGCATTTGCTATACCCGCTCCCCCCATTCACTATACCCGCTCCCCAGACCCCGAATTTGCTATACCCGCTCCCCCCATTCGCTATACCCGCTCTCCCCGGACCCCGCATTCGCTATATCCGGTCTCCCCGGACCCCGCATTCACTATGTCCGGTCTCCCCGGACCCCGCATTCACTATGTCCGGTCTCCCCGGACCCCGCATTCACTATGTCCGGTTTCCCCGGACCCCACATTCACTATACCCCCTCTCCCCGGACCCCGCATTCGCTATATCCGCTCTCCCCGGACCCCGCATTCGCTATACCCCCTCTCCCCGGACCCCGCATTCGCTATATCCGCTCTCCCCGGACCCCGCATTCACTATGTCCGGTCTCCCCGGACCCCGCATTCACTATGTCCGGTCTCCCCGGACCCCGCATTTACTATGTCCGGTTTCCTCGGACCCCGCATTCACTATACCCCCTCTCCCCGGACCCCGCATTCGCTATATCCGCTCTCCCCGGACCTCGCATTCACTATATCCGCTCTCCCCGGACCCCGCATTCACTATATCCGCTCTCCCCAGACCCCGCATTCACTATGTCCGGTCTCCCCGGACCCCGCATTCACTATGTCCGGTCTCCCCGGACCCCGCATTCACTATGTCCGGTCTCCCCGGACCCCGCATTCACTATGTCCTCTCTCCCCGGACCCCGCATTCACTATGTCCGCTCTCCCCGGACCCCGCATTCACTATGTCCGGTCTCCCCGGACCCCGCATTCACTATGTCCTCTCTCCCCGGACCCCGCATTCACTATGTCCGGTCTCCCCGGACCCCGCATTCACTATGTCCGGCTCTCCCCGGACCCCGCATTCACTATGTCCGGTCTCCCCGGACCCCGCATTCACTATATCCGCTCTCCCTGGACCCTGCATTCACTATATCTGGTCTCCCACAGTAAACAGAAATGCGATTTTAGTAAATATAAACTGCTAAATACATTTTCTCATCAGCAGTATATAGCAGTCTTGTGACTCCTATCAGTGTCCAGAAAAGCACTGGTTAGAACTTATAGTTTTTATTCTGCTCTAGGAGGATCCTAGATTGTAAGCTCCAGAGAGCAGGGCCCTTGAACCCCTCGTGTATTGTATTACTGTATTGTCTCATGTTCTGTCCCCCACTATAATGTACAGCGCTGAGCAAACCTGTCTGGCACTAATACTGTATAATAATAATGCAGGACTCCTGACCTGTCTGGACAGTGCTGATTGGCCCTGTGCTGATCACATGCACCTTCCCAAGAAAAAACCTCTAGCAATACACACGAAACTGAGCATGTGCAGAGTGTCTCCACATTTTTTTTCCAAAAGATGAGTGGGGCACTACAAAAGGGGAGGATCAGAGAAGTATACAGACTGATTTTACTGCTGTGGCTTTAGTAACACTAAGCCAGGAAGCCACATTGCTACAGAGACCACCATGTCCCATAGTTGATCTCAAAACATTAAAATACTTGGAACATTGAGGCTTGGCTCACGCCGACTCCTAAACTGAGCGATTTTCAATGCACTGAAGCCGTATCAAAGTAGCGCAGGAACCTTTTCTGAAGTTGGCGTCAATCGGAATGGCTCTCAGAATGGCATGGCATTTCACATGATCCGAAACTAAATGGCAGGAGTGTGGACAGAGCCTACAAAGGTTTAGAACACCCCCTAGTAGATGGGGGGGATACACCCTATCCTGATATCGGGTGCAACATTTTAATCCCAAAATATTGAATCGTAAACAGAGGGCACGTCACATGCGACCACGTCTGGCCCTGATGAGACCATAGACCTCCCTAGACCTGGAAGCCTTGCTCTGGGGCAATGCCAAGACCATAGACCTCCCTAGACCTGGAAGCCTTGCTCTGGGGCAATGCCAGGAGGCCGCTAGGGAGGGTGGCCGGGCAAGTATATACTGCCTGTGGAACCGCTCAGATGTGCCCCAATATTACATTTACACAAGACTGGGGATTCTTTATAAACGGACCTCCACGTCCTCTGCCCCTGGTGTTTCCACCGCCACGGCTGTTGAAGTCGGCTCTCCGTGTAGCAAACGAGACTTTGATTGGATTTCCAGAAAATTCTTTGCCTGAAACAGAAGACACGGGTTAGTCTCTACACAAAGATGGAGAAAAAAAACCAACATCTAGATCAAGAAATCCGAAGGGACCCACCATCAAACCAGTCGATGGCAGCCTTGGCAGATGGAGGATCATCGAAGGACACTGTTGCTTCTCCCTTCAGCTTGCCCGTCTCCCGGTCTGTGTACAGGTTTATCATGGGCTGCCCGGTCTTCTTGTTTGTCTACAGAAAGGAAAGATCATCTCAGTCACCAGATTGGAGGAGCTCATCGCCCATTCTAGATCTGAAAATCTTCATTCCACATGTATCCAGGCTGCCTTCATACACACCTTGATGATTCCAATCTGCTTGAAGTATTCAGCGACGGACTCGACGGTCACGTTCTCTCCCAGGCCTTGCACAAAGATCGTGTTGTTGTCGGAGTTATCTTGTTCAGCTGTCAATGAGAGGATTTATTAATGGTCTGCTCCTTCATATGGTCCCCATTCTATGACATTCCTCAATGGTGGCCTTGTCTATTAGGCCTGGTACACACCGGTGCAACGCGTCATGTGATTGGATAGCCCCGGATCGCACCCTATGGAACGGATCAGCGTTTATGAACCTTCGACTGTGGTGCGGCAGATTTTGAAGGTTCCGGCACGGTTTTTGGCGATTTGATGTGCGACTTGCATAGACATCTGTGCCCCTAGCTACATCGCCAACCTCATCCCGCAGATACCGCCCACTCCGCTCCTCCCAAGATATCCTCCTCTCTAGCTCCATCACCTCCTCCCATGCTCGCCTCCAGGACTTCTCCAGAGCCTCTCCCACCCTCTGGAACTCCCTACCACAGTATGTTCGGTCAACCCCCACCCTGTCTGCCTTTAGGCGATCTTCGAAAACTTACTTATTCAGGGAAGCCTACCCCACCTCCACCTAAGAACTGTACTTGAATCCCCTCCACCAGATCATCCCCCGCAGCTATCACCTTTTGTATCACCTCCCCCTTCCTTCAGATTGTAAGCTCCACAAGCCGGGCCCTCCTATTCCTTCTGTACTGAAATGTATTGTAATTGTACCGCCCCCCTTATATTGTAAAGCGCTGAGCAAACTGTTGGCGCTATATAAATCCTGTATAATAAAGTGGCACAGATATCAGGCAAGCTGCACATGAAATCACACTGACCGGCTTTGTAATTGCACTACTTGATCCTAAAGCCACATTCGGCGTGAACCCTATAGGGGCCTACACGTGTCCCATGCCCATTATACACAGCCACCCTCTGCGCATTTTAAGTTCCTCTACCTTGTAGTGTAGTGCCGCTCTACCTACTACACACTCCAGCCACCCTGTGCCTGTTCCACACAACCACCTTGTCTATGCCCCCCCATTACATATTCACCAGTTGCCCTGGGCCTAGTCTGTACCCGACAGGTAATAGGGGTGGCCATTAAAGTGTGGAGTAGGCACAAGGCAGCCGTTCCATCACACAATTTGTGTGCGATTTCTGAAGACTATATCTACTTGAAAATTTTCAACAATTTTATAATTTCCATTATTCTATGGATGTGAAAATCACAGAAAAAGTAATGCAAGAACTACTTTAGAAATTGCGCTGCAACAAATCGCACAAGACATTCATGCACCAGTGACTGGGTACCTAATGGCTGCCTCCTATTATCAGAATTACATTCTCATGCACGATGGGCTGCATGTTAACCCATTACATATTCCTGATATGTACCTGTTGTACTAAAAAGAATACAGTTTTTTGTATTTCTTCCTCTGCATGCAATACCTGGTCCCCCTAATTCCACATTTCCAACCGACCACTCTAGGCATGAGCACACAACCAGCATGCCCATTTTTCATGACTGTGCCAGGAGAACAGCTTGCGTCTTTAATTGATCTGACAGTGTACAGCCATTCACTAAGATTTATTTATTTCAGGTACTTCTAGGATGATCAGTGTACTGCCGTTTCTTCACCCCCACCTCTCCAAGCACCTTATGCAGCTGAGAACCTAAAGGTATTCACAATGTTGATATCTATATACAAATGTTTGCCTTTCATTTCTCTTTTTAAATGGAATAGGTTGTCTTCGCTGGGATTTATTTCAGGTACTTATAGGACGATCAGTGTACTGCCATTTCTCCACCCCCACCTCTCCAAGTCCCTTATGCACCCGAGAACTTGAAAAAAAGGTATTCACAATGTTGATATCTATATACAAATGTTTGCCTTTCATTTCTATTTTTAAATGGAATAGTTTGTCTTTGCTAGGATTTATTTATTTCAGGTACTTATAGGATGATCAGTGTACTGCCATTTCTTCACCCCCACCTCTCCATGTTCCTTATGCAGCCGAGAATTTTAAAAAAAGGTATTCACAATGTTGATATCTATATACAAATGTTTGCCTTTCGTTTCTATTTTCAATGGAATAGGTTGTTTTACAAGGAGAGTGCTCACATACACATGTATCCCATTTCTCATGAAACCTACCCATTTCGTGTCTGGGAGGTCCGCCTTCACGTGGTCCTTTGAGAAAGCAGAAAAAAAAACACTTCTGTTAGAAAAGTGGAGGGCAGACAAGACGCACATCTCCCCAAACCCATCATACATGTAAACCACCCACATGAACGCTCAGACTATCCATTCTTAGTGCCTGGCAACACACCGTGCGCCGCCGTCTCCGTCATATGAAACTCTACAGAGCCTGTTCTCAGGCCCCAAAGCAGGCGCTTTCAGGAGCAGACATCTGACCGTGCATTTAGGTTCAACGCACACAGGATAGGTAGTACCCCTAATACACACTATGAACGCACAACATGAGCCATTTGTAATGATACACCATGGATGTACACATCTATTACACACTGCTCACCCCCCCATCTGGTACACGTTACATGCGAACCCCAAATATTTGAATACATGTTACACACTGTTCACCCCAATTTTTGTACACATTACACGCTGCTGCTCACCCCCAAAATATTTATACACACCTATGACGCACTGCTCACCCCCAATTTATTGTACACCTCTATTGCACACGGCTCACCCCTTTTTTTATACACATTACACACTGCTTGCCCCCAATTTGCAGGTTTTTCTTTTTTTATAAGATCCTTTTCCATTGTGAAGTTCCACCGGACTTTTAATACCTTCTAGTTTGTAATCTTAATACCCAGTGATAATTGTATTACCGTCACAGAAAAGGTTGTGCTGTATACCTGGTAACCATGGATAGAAGACACACCACAGGGTTTCTGTATACAAGTCTACCTCCTTGTAGAACGCTTGTATAAATATATTATTTTTCTTACCAAGTTGATCATTTTCCCTTTATTGATCATTTTCCCTTTACAAACACATGCATGTTACCAAAATTCCCCACAGCCCTCAATGTTAACCAGAACCCAGCAACTGTTACTGTAGGCTTCAACCGTAATATATATATATTATATAGGATATAATGTACTCCATGTATCCAGTATATAGAGGACTGAGTGCAGAGGCACCGACAGTGGGATGAAGCCTGCCTGACCCCCACACAACTCTCATGAATGAACCGTAAAAAAAAAAATAAAATGAACAGTAACAAGAATTTTTTTGTTGATTTTTCAACTCTTCACTTACCACCAAATTTACTGAATCCTCCCCGTTCACCACCGCTGAGAAGACAATTAGAAGAAAATTGAAGGGTTTTTGTTTTGTGATTCCCGAGGCTACAGAAGTTCTTTATTCCGTCACACACATTTGCCTAGTACTCTGTACAACTAACACACTTGCGTCTTTGTTTTGCATGTGAAAAGCCTTCGTTCACCTTCAGCCGCTTGGGGCTTTTTTTTTTTTGTTTTTTTGGAACGTTTGACCTCTAGTTACTAAAAGTTTACCAACACTCGTCAGTGCAAACACCTCTTTAGCGGAGATTTTCACTCTGGATTGTGTACCATTTGGTTTGCATAGGATTGTAAGCAACAGAGCATGGTGTATATGGTGTATAAAATGAGAGAATCTGTTACGGCTAATCTTACATCTACAAATAGAAAAGTTTGTGTGGATAAATGCTAAGTGTGAAAGCTGACGACACCTTGAAAACCTGTAGCACATAAAATGCAGAATTTGTTAACACAAAAGCAGAGCAACACAGCAAACATGATTTTGGCAGTTTTGTATTCCTATCTCTGCCTTTTCCCCCATACTTACCCCTCTCTCATGCTGTGTACTGCTCTTGATGGGCGCCCTCAGCTTAACCCGCTGACTGGAAGTGATCACATGGCAACAATCACACAACACGCCCCCCTCCCCTCCCGGCATTGCACACAGAACCTGTACGCCGTCACACACATGATATCGCACACACCCGCTGTACACGTTGTCACAGAAATCCCGTCTCATGGCTGTACACATTAGCTCGGTCCTGATCACCCTCGGTTTTTTTTTTGTACCCGATTTTCATCTATACACACCGTGTCAGACTCCATTTTTATGCTACAGGAGGTATCTTGACACACCATGCACCATGTCCGTTTCATTGCTACCTTCGGTTGTGGTTCGGTTTCAACACCGTTCCTGCTACGCCAGTATACCAGACCTGAGGACGTCACTTTGGTGTAGAGTGAACTCCTCTACCGGGCGCAGGAAAATCTAGTGTTTATACGTCATACAGCACCATTGTGATATCCTAGCAATGCAGAACCATTGTATGGTAAGAGGAACACCTTTGTCAGACCCGTACCTCTGAGATACACATTGACATACCCCGGGTACCCTGCCTACACATTCTGCTAAGACTCAAACTTATGGTTTACATTTTTTTTTGGTTTTCAACCTCTACAGATAATAAAACCTCCATCCTGTCACAGGCAGTGTGAAACCTCCTTCCTCTCTTTACAGCCACAGGTCAGAGTTGTCAGTGCTTAGGAATCAGTTGTCAAACACCGGAAACAGGAGGTTGTGTGTTTTTGTTTCGCTGTAATATCCTGAACGCTCATATCCCATGCAGTCATCAACATGCAGCCAAGCTCCGCCCACACACACCACCCATGTTCAGACACCTACCCCATGCCGCCACCGCCGCCCTCTTCCGCCACGGCCTCCTCTGCCGCCTCGGTCAAAGCCTCCGCGCCCACCAAATCCACCGCGGCCTCGGCCTCTGCCATCCTGTCCGCCAAAGCTGCCTTGGTCGGAACCACCGTAGCCGCCTCCACCACCACCACCACCACCACCCATGGGAGGAGAGTCCTGGCTGTAACCTCCAGCTGAAAAGAACACATTTTGCAAGGTTGAGCCGAGCCTTCATACAAACGTAACTTCCCCCCGTAAATGAGTATGCCGACTTACATCCCCCACCATACTGGGATTGCTGCTGCTGGCCATAGCCCTGGGGGGCATTATAGCTGGACTGCTGCCCATAGGAACCGGACTGCTGACCACCACCACCATATCCGCCTTGACTCTGCTGACCTCCATAACCAGACTGGCCTCCTCCATAGCCGCTCTGTTGACCTCCATATCCACCACCTCCTCCTCCTCCACTGGACTGTTGTCCATAACCGCTGCCCTGCTGCTGCTGGTATGAGGACTGAGAACCACCACTGCCATAGCTGGGGGGGAAAAAGAAAGGATAAGCTATCCATAACGTGCAACGATGAGGTACGGGGGTCACAGAAACTGGAATACAAACTCACCTTCCAGTGTTACTGCTGGCTGGAGGCTGCTGGGAATAGCTGGAATATGATGACTGGGAGGACTGCTGTTGCTGCTGTCCCCCGCTGTAGGGGGTCTGGGATGATTGGGAGCCGCCATAGTTACCAGCGCTGTATCCTTGAGCCGACTGAGAGCCATAGCCAGCTGTGAATAGTCAATGAGGTGAATGTTAAATACGTAAACCCAACATGTCATATTCCTGATATGTGCCTGCTGTGCCATGTACTTGTATGAAGAAGTGTCCTGTCTGTATGAAATCCCTGGTGTTCCTGACACTCCCTCTGCTTTCCTAATAACTGACCACACTATGCAGGAGAGCACCGCGTGGTCAGTTTAACTGTGCTGGGAACGCCACCTACTCGCCAATGATCAGACTTGCCCCGACACACCCCCTCTGTACAGCCATTCGCTGGGAAGCCCAGTGTTCTGTTATTTCTTCCCCCTCTTATACAGCTGAGAACAAAAGGTATGTGATCACTAAAAAAAATATATATTTGTTTATATATAGTATAATTTACACAAATGTGTTTCATTTCTATTTTAAACTGAAAGGTTTGACAAGGTGATCATTTACAATCACTGACACTAAAATGTGATACAAATAAAAAAAAAGTCATCTCCACATAATCAAAGCTACATAAGATTTCCCTTCACTGAGCAGCATACTTACAGCTTTGCTCCTGTCCATAGGACGAGCCGTACCCTCCACTCTGTCCATAGGAAGAGGACCCAGCAGACTGGCCATAGCCACTGTACCCCTGCTGACCATAGGACTGGCTGCCCTGCTGGGAATAGCCTTGTGCGGGCTGAGACGGGTATGAGCTGTACCTGAAAAATGAAACAAGCATAAGCAAACCCCCAAAACCACGCCCACCCCCAAAACAACAAAAGCCAAACCCCCCCCAAAACTACAAACAAAAGCCACCCCCCCCCCCCCCAAAGCTACAAAAGCCAACCCCCCCCCAAAGCTACAACCAAAAGCCAACCCCCCCCAAAGCTACAACCAAAAGCCAACCCCCCCCAAAGCTACAACCAAAAGCCAACCCTCCCCAACCAAAATCCAACCCTCCAAAGCTACAACCAAAATCCAACCCTCCAAAGCTACAACCAAAAGCCAACCCCCCCCCCAAAGCTACAACCAAAAGCCAACCCCCCCCAAAGCTACAACCAAAAGCCAACCCCCCCCAAAGCTACAACCAAAAGCCAACCCCCCCCAAAGCTACAACCAAAAGCCAACCCCCCCCAAAGCTACAACCAAAAGCCAACCCCCCCCAAAGCTACAACCAAAAGCCAACCCCCCCAAAGCTACAACCAAAAGCCAACCCCCCCAAAGCTACAACCAAAAGCCAACCCCCCCAAAGCTACAACCAAAGCCAACCCCCCCAAAGCTACAACCAAAAGCCAACCCCCCCAAAGCTACAACCAAAAGCCAACCCCCCCAAAGCTACAACCAAAAGCCAAACCCCCCCAAAGCTACAACCAAAAGCCAACCCCCCAAAGCTACAACCAAAAGCCAACCCCCCCAAAGCTACAACCAAAAGCCAACCCCCCAAAGCTACAACCAAAAGCCAACCCCCCAAAGCTACAACCAAAACAAACCCCCAAAACTACAAACAAAAGCAAACCCCCCAAAACTACAACCGCAAACAAACCAACACCCCCCCACAATACTAATCACTTCTTCCAGAAGTAAGTCTTACCCTTGGGCTGCTGGCTGTGAATAATCTGAAAAAGAAAAATGGGAAAAAATGTTACTGTTGAATGAAAATAAATCTCATCCTGAACTCTCCCCTCTTCCAGTCACCTGAGCCCCGCAATGCTGCGCAGGTTTCTACAGCGGGACTTCCAGCCATCATTGTATTACAAAAACAACAAAAACTGGTGTGGATGGCTTTTCATCCAGTCAGAAGAATCATTGCTTTTCTATTGGATGGAAAGCTGTTCAGCCCACAGCCAATCAGTGCGGACAGATACAGGAATTGTGCAATCAGAGCCAAAACCTGAACGGAGGACAATGGTACTTGTATGAGTCACCGTCACATCGCTGAGATTTAACAATTTTCTGAACTTTATTGCCACATCAAGATTTTCAACGATTTCTTGCAATTTGCAGTGCGATTTCCATTATATTCTATGGATGTGACATCACAACGGATGGAAAAGTAACACAACAACTACTATAGAAATTGCATGTTAATGACGCCGACATTCACCATCATTAGATACCATTTCAGTTCTCACCGGTATGACCGGCCACTTCTACCATTGTACTTGGAACAGTCCATTCAGGTTTGGGCTCTAAGCAGCTTCCATACGGAGGAGCTTCTGAAGCGTTTGTTTAATATAAGTGCCTGAAAAGCTCAAGAAAAATGCTTCCCTGTGTACGCCACTCCACCCCCACGCGCCACTCCGCACGCCACTCCACCCCCACGCACGCCACTCCACCCCCCACTCTTTTCACACTGGGGTGTTGCGCTTGTTGAAATCAATGGAAACACCTGAGAAGCGTGTTTGGTGCAGTTTTGAAGTCACGTGTCCTTTTATTTTCCGGTCAGAACCACACAGTACATCCCGACTACTACAGACCTCTCCTACCTCCATCCCAACCCACTACTACAGAGCTCTCCTACCTCCATCCCAACCCACTACTACAGACCTCTCCTACCTCCATCCCAACCCACTACTACAGACCTCTCCTACCTCCATCCCAACCCACTACTACAGACCTCTCCTATCTCCATCCCAACCCACTACTACAGACCTCTCCTACCTCCATCCCAACCCACTACTACAGACCTCTCCTACCTCCATCCCAACCCACTACTACAGAGCTCTCCTACCTCCATCCCAACCCACTACTACAGACCTCTCCTACCTCCATCCCAATCCCAACCCACTACTACAGAGCTCTCCTACCTCCATCCCAACCCACTACTACAGAGCTCTCCTACCTCCATCCCAACCCACTACTACAGAGCTCTCCTACCTCCATCCCAACCGACTACTACAGACCTCTCCTACCTCCATCCCAACCCACTACTACAGAGCTCTCCTACCTCCATCCCAACCGACTACTACAGACCTCTCCTACCTCCATCCCAACCCACTACTACAGACCTCTCCTACCTCCATCCCAACCCACTACTACAGACCTCTCCTACCTCCATCCCAACCCACTACTACAGACCTCTCCTACCTCCATCCCAACCCACTACTACAGACCTCTCCTACCTCCATCCCAACCCACTACTACAGAGCTCTCCTACCTCCATCCCAACCGACTACTACAGACCTCTCCTACCTCCATCCCAACCGACTACTACAGACCTCTCCTACCTTCATCCCAACCCACTACTACAGAGCTCTACTACCTCCATCCCAACCCACTACTACAGACCTCTCCTACCTCCATCCCAACTACAGACCTCTCCTACCTCCATCCCAACTACTACAGACCTCTCCTACCTCCATCCCAACTACTACAGACCTCTCCTACCTCCATCCCAACTACTACAGACCTCTCCTACCTCCATCCCAACTACTACAGACCTCTCCTACCTCTATGCCAACCAACTACTACAGACCTCTCCTACCTCCATCCCAACCGACTACTACAGACCTCTCCTACCTCCATCCCAACCGACTACTACAGACCTCTCCTACCTCCATCCTGACTACTACAGACCTCTTCCATCTCTCAGATAGGAGACAGCCCCATAATAGTCTACATGGCTGTAATGTGGCGGTACATCCAGGAGAGGGCACCGCTCACCACTGGATAAACAATGGAGGCGGTGTCTGCTGGGTCTCCATATACATCAGTGGAGGGGCAGCAAAAATTAAAATGCAGTAAACACGCAAGGACACCACTGCTGCAAACCTATATAAAAATCCTTCAACTTAAACTCCCGGCTGCTGAACAAAAGGGGCCCAAAGCATGCCAACAACCCAGCACGAAGTCAATCAATCTCACCCAACTTTATTAAAGCCAGACAAAGCATGCTGCTGCCCCGCCCCTTTGTTTCACCCAACAAAGGCTTGAGCACAGAAAAGGGATCATCCCTGTAATGGGTGAGGGGCAGTCTAAGGCAGGGTGGTAGTGTGCATTGTCTGGCTTTAATAAAGCTGTAGGCGATCTGACGCTGGCATGCAACTTCCTGCTCTCCTGTTGTCCGAAAAAAAAAAAAAAAAAAAAAACAGTTTTGAGGCTGGTTCACACCACAGCGCAGGAAACACTGCACATGCAATCTATAACGGGGTGTCCATGTTAACTCACCAACACCCTATTATACAGGATTTGATGGCGCCAACAGTTTGCTCAGTGCTTTACAATATAACGGGAGACAATACAGCAACAATACAGATCAATACAAGAGGGATTGGAGGGCCTGATCCTGGGAGCTTACAATCTAGGAGGGAGGGGCTAGTGGTACAAAAAAGGTAATAACTGTGGGGGATGGACTGGTCGGAGGAATAGAAGATTCCAGTATTAGCTGAGGACAGGATAGGCTTCCCTGAAGAGAGAGGTTTTCAGAGATCGCCTAAAAGTGAGCAGAGTAGGCGATAGTCTGATAGATTGGGGTAGAGAATTCCAGAGGATGGGAGAGGCTCTGGAGAAGAGCATGGGAGGAGGCAAGGGAGCTAGAGAGCAGGAGGTCGTGGGAGGAGCGGAGAGGACAGTTTGGGTGATATTTGGAGCCAAGATCGGTGATGTAATTTGGGGCGGAGTTATAAATGGCTTTTATATGTTATTGTTAATGTTTTGAATTGTATCCGTTGGGCAATGGGAAGGCAGTGGGTGCGTTCACCTACACCAGGCCCTACGGTACAGTAGCACCACATGATCTGGTTGCTGGGCGTTCTTTACAGGGGTGTAGTTTGGTGCCATTAAAAATGAATGGGCTGGAATCGCACTGCAGCTGAACCGCGTGTGTGACCCACACACTTCCGTGTGATTCATTGTATGTATTGGCCCTTAAAGTGATAGTAAGATCTTCAATCATTTTACCTTCAGGTAAGCATATAACTACTGGCAGCACTGGGGTCATCGGTTCAAATCCCAACCACGCACCACCTGCCTGGAGTTTGCATGTTCTCCCTGTGCCTGTGTGTGTTTCCTCTGGTTTCCTCCCACACCCCAAAGACATGCTGGGAGGATAATTGGCTCCTATCTACATTGTCCCTAGTATGTGTGTGTATGAATGTGAGTTAGGGACCTTAGATTGTTTATAATGTAAAGCGCTGAGCAAACTGTTGGCGCTCTATAAATACTGTATAATTGTACGCTCCTCGGGGGCGGGGACTGATGTGAATGTACAATATATATGAAGCGCTGCGTACATTGACGGCGCTATACAAGTACCTGAAATAAAGCTGACCTGTAGGTAAAATAATCTCCTAAATGTGGACCATTTAGGAGGTATTCGCCTTTTCTGATAACCAGCACATGCAGTCTGAAGGGTTGGCATACCATCAGAACTGTGCCGGGGCCCAGACCCCCCCCCCCGGCACAGGAGTGACGTCATCGCGGCTTGGCCAGAGCTCATGAACCCGTAAGGATGACTGAATGAAGATGGAATCCCTGTGACAGCGCTCTGCTGGGGGGTTTCGTTTGAAGACGTCTTTCATAATGAAGCCTATCCTGCTTCTACCTAGTAATCTGCCATTGATTTCCTCCATCGGCCCCTCCCCCCACAGCCATTACCTTTTGTATCACTCAACCCTTCCTCCTAGATTGTAAGCTCCCAGGAGCCGGGCCCTCTGTGTCCTCTTGTATTGAACTGTAACCTATGTCTGCCTTCATTTTGTAAAATGCTAAGCAAACTGTTGGCGCCATATAAATCCTGTATAATAATGTGCTAGTCTGCAATGGTACTAACACTATGCCTTTACCTGGCAGGGGGTGTTTTTTTATGCGGTTTTACTATGGCTTTAAAGCGGACCCCCCCCAAAAAAACGCTTTGTACCTGGCTCTAGTCCTTCCCCATCCTCTGGAACTCTCTACCCCAATCTATCAGACCATCGCCTACTCTGCTCACTTTTAGGTGATCTCTGAAAACCGATCTCTTCAGGGAAGCCTATCCTGCCCTCAGCTAATAATGGAATCTTCTATTCCTCCTACCAGTCCATCCCCCACAGTTACTGCCTTTTGTACCACCAGCCCCTCCCTCCTAGATTGTAAGCTCCCAGGATCAGGGCCCTCCCTCTAAGATTGTAAGCTCCCAGGATCAGGGCCCTCCCTCTTAGATTGTAAGCTCCAGGATCAGGGCCCTCCCTCTTAGATTGCAAGCTCCCAGGATCAGCCCCTCCCTCTTAGATTGCAAGCTCCCAGGATCAGGGCCCTCCCTCTTAGATTGCAAGCTCCCAGGATCAGGGCCCTCCCTCTTAGATTGCAAGCTCCCAGGATCAAGGCCCTCCCTCTTAGATTGCAAGCTCCCAGGATCAGGGCCCTCCCTCTTAGATTGTAAGCTCACAGGATCAGGGCCCTCCCTCTTAGATTGTAAGCTCCCAGGATCAGGGCCCCTCCCTCTTAGATTGTAAGCTCCCAGGATCAGCCCCTCCCCTCTTAGATTGTAAGCTCCCAGGATCAGCCCCTCCCTCTTAGATTGTATGCTCCCAGAATCAGGCCCTCCCTCTTAGATTGTATGCTCCCAGAATCAGCCCCTCCCTCTTAGATTGTATGCTCCCAGAATCAGCCCCTCCCTCTTAGATTGTAAGCTCCCAGAATCAGCCCCTCCCTCTTAGATTGTAATGCTCCCAGGATCAGCCCCTCCCTCTTAGATTGTAAGCTCCCAGAATCAGGCCCTCCTATCCCTCTTGTATTGTCTCCTGTTATATTGTAAAGCGCTGAGCAAACTGTTGGCGCCATATAAAAACCTGAAAAATGAGGGTTAGGCTGGTCATAGACGGGCCGTTTATCGGCCAATAAACAGATAAATCGGTCATTGCTGCCACCAATGTCTATGAAAAACAGCCGTTTTTTTTTTCATGGATTTTCCAGCATGACTGAAAAAAATAAACGAGAAGATCCACAAAAAACGGCCGACGGCACTGCCCCACTAACGACGTGAATATCAGCCGATTTTTCTTGCGGACGAAAATTCGGCCGATAAGACCCATCTATGGCCTGCATTAGGAGAGCATGATCCTGGGAGCTTACAATCTAAGAGGGAGGGGCTGGTGGTACAAAAGGTAATAACTGTGGGGGGATGGACTGGTAGGAAGAGTAGAATATTCCAGTATTAGCTGAAGGCAGGATAGGCTCTTAGATTGCAAGCTCCCAGGATCAGCCCCTCCATCTTAGATTGTAAGCTCCCAGGATCAGGGCCCTCCCTCTTAGATTGTAAGCTCCCAGGATCAGGGCCCTCCCTCTTAGATTGTAAGCTCCCAGGATCAGGGCCCTCCCTCTTGGATTGTAAGCTCCCAGGATCAGGGCCCTCCCTCTTGGATTGTAAGCTCCCAGGATCAGGGCCCTCCCTCTTGGATTGTAAGCTCCCAGGATCAGGGCCCTCCCTCTTGGATTGTAAGCTCCCAGGATCAGGGCCCTCCCTCTTGGATTGTAAGCTCCCAGGATCAGGGCCCTCCCTCTTGGATTGTAAGCTCCCAGGATCAGGGCCCTCCCTCTTGGATTGTAAGCTCCCAGGATCAGGGCCCTCCCTCTTGGATTGTAAGCTCCCAGGATCAAGCCCTCCCAGATTGTAAGCTCCCAGGGCCCTCCCTCTTGGATTGTAAGCTCCCAGGATCAGGGCCCTCCCTCTTGGATTGTAAGCTCCCAGGATCAGGGCCCTCCCTCTTGGATTGTAAGCTCCCAGGATCAGGGCCCTCCCTCTTGGATTGTAAAGCTCCCAGGATCAGGGCCCTCCCTCTTGGATTGTAAGCTCCCAGGATCAGGGCCCTCCCTCTTGGATTGTAAGCTCCCAGGATCAGGGCCCTCCCTCTTGGATTGTAAGCTCCCAGGATCAGGGCCCCCTCCCTCTTGGATTGTAAGCTCCCAGGATCAGGGCCCTCCCTCTTGGATTGTAAGCTCCCAGGATCAGGGCCCTCCCTCTTGGATTGTAAGCTCCCAGGATCAGGGCCCTCCCTCTTAGGAGATTGTAAGCTCCCAGGATCAGGGCCCTCCCTCTTAGATTGTAAGCTCCCAGGATCAGGGCCCTCCCTCTTGGATTGTAAGCTCCCAGATCAGGGCCCTCCCTCTTGGATTGTAAGCTCCCAGGATCAGGGCCCTCCCTCTTGGATTGTAAGCTCCCAGGATCAGGGCCCTCCCTCTTGGATTGTAAGCTCCCAGGATCAGGGCCCCTCCCTCTTGGATTGTAAGCTCCCAGGATCAGCCCCTCCCTCTTGGATTGTAAGCTCCCAGGATCAGGGCCCTCCCTCTTAGATTGTAAGCTCCCAGAATCACCCCCTCCCTCTTGGATTGTAAGCTCCCAGAATCAGGCCCTCCTGTCCCTCTTGTATTGTCTCCTGTTATATTGTAAAGCGTGAGCAAACTGTTGGCGCCATAAAGCCTGTATAATAAGAGGGCCCTGATCCTGGGAGCTTACAATCTAAGAGGGAGGGGCTGGTGGTACAAAAGGTAGTAACTGTGGGGGATGGACTGGTAGGAGGAATAGAAGATTCCATTATTAGCTGAGGGCAGGATAGGCTTCCCCGAAGAGATCAGTTTTCAGAGATTGCCTAAAAGTGAGCAGAGTAGGCAACAGTCTGATAGATAGGGGTAGAGAGTTCCAGAGGATGGGTGGAGACTCTGAAGAAGTCCTGGAAGGAAGAGACAAAGGAGCTGGAGAGTAGGAGGTTGTTGGAGGACAATTAGACTTGCAATGTGGTAACTCCCCAGGTGAGGAGGATGCTGGGCTCGATTCCATGCCCTCCTGGACCTGGCAGAGACTCCCTTTCCATCTACACACACGGGATCTACCATGTCAAAGGCGGAGATCCCAGCATGTCAAAGGCGGAGATCCCAGTGGTCTGCGAGGATGTACCACGAATCACGGCCAGGTCCTGAAGAGGAGGGAGAAGAGGCCTCCAGCACATTTGCCAGACTTAAAGATGGCGGCACCAGCTTCAGAGACAGGGGTCATGTCTAGCCAGAGTACAGGTCCGCCAAGGATGCCCTCATCTTCCGGTCCATCATGTTCGGTAGATTCGGCCTGTTACAAGCTCTTCATCTCATACAGACCACATACATAACATACAACTAAATCCATCCAATCCCTCCACTCACATAGAAATACAGGCATTGATTCCAGACGCTTTCCTGATCCCAATACAACTCCACCAATGAGCATCATCAGCTCTCACCAATCAGATCAATAGAACTCCCCCCTCCATACAAAGCGTGGCTGCTCAGAGGCCAAATCTGCCTAGTAACAGCAGCAGCCAATCATAATTCCCGCCGCATCCCCACAGTAACTGGCACCGCCCCCTCCACACACTGCAGAATGGCCGCGCCGCAAAATGGCGCCGAGCTTCCCGCGAGGACAGAGAATGGCGGCCGGCCCGGGGAGACACCGATCCCCCTAACCGAGCCCATACCGGTAAAAACAAACAAAAAAAAAAGTTAAGAAAATAATAGATGTAACCCGAAAAGGTCAGCGATACGAGCTAATATGGCGCCATCAAATAACGGACATAAATACGAGTCCCGGACATCGCCCTCATTGGAGGGGAGGCCGGTAGGGGACGGGGAGGCCGGTAGGGGACGGGGTGCCCTCCCGGGGGTGAGCTGGGGACGGGGTACGTACCGTTGGTTGCCATTGTCCGCGTCTGATTGATCACAAAGACCTCTAGCTGATGATTCTCCGCGTCGCACTGATAGAGGCGGGGCCCTACCGCTCCTTATCAGCCCTCAGACTGAACCATTCCTCTGCCGGGGGGGAGAGAACGCCCACCGCTCCGAGTGTGAATCTCCGCCCACCGCCACACGCTGATACATGTACCATTAGTAATGACGGTGACAAAGCGCGAGGGGCTACAGACCCGGTCTGTGAATGTCACCGGAGACACCGGGGGGGATATGGTATATCCCGCCGTACATTGCCATGGTGATAACAAAACAATAGGCTATCAGATAAAGGCGGTATAGATCATATCACATAGGCAACGATCGATAACTGCAATAGAAATGACAATCACTGAAAAATGGAGACCCTCCAACACCCCAGAGGCGGCAACAGTGGCTTCCCCCCTTCCTGTACACAGCATGGCCGCCATTGTGTTCCTCAGGTCATAGCTCTGGACCAGATCTGGGAGGAAGTCGGTGTGGGGGATGGTGTAACAAAGATGTCTCCTGTTGTAAAATCTCTGTAAAATCTCTGTCCTATAATACGATGGAGACATCTCTGTCCTATAATATGGAGATGGAGACATCTCTGTCCTATAATACGATGGAGATGGAGACATCTCTGTCCTATAATACGATGGAGACGTCTCTGTCCTATAATACGATGGAGAGTCTCGTCTCTGTCCTATAATAAGATGGAGACATCTCTGTCCTATAATAAGATGGAGACATCTCTCTGTCCTATAATAAGATGGAGACATCTCTGTCCTAATAAGATGGAGAATCTCTGTCCTAGATGGATGGACATCTCTGTCCTATAATAAGATGGAGACATCTCTGTCCTATAATAAGATGGAGACATCTCTGTCCTATAATAAGATGGAGAGATGGAGACATCTCTGTCCTATAATAAGATGAGACATCTCTGTCCTATATAATAAGATGTCTCTGTCCTATAATAAGATGGAGACATCTCTCTGTCCTCCTATAATAAGATGGAGACATCTCTGTCCTATAATAAGATGGAGACATCTCTGTCCTATAATAGATGGAGACATCTCTGTCCTATAATAGATGGAGACATCTCTGTCCTATAATAAGGAGACATCTCTGTGTCCTATAATATGGAGACATCTCTGTCCTATAATAAGATGGAGACATCTCTGTCCTATAATAAGATGGAGACATCTCTGTCCTATAAATAGATGAGACATCTCTGTCCTATAATAAGATGGAGACATCTCTGTCCTATAATAAGATGGAGACGTCTCTGTCCTATAATAAGATGGAGACGTCTCTGTCCTATAATAAGATGGAGACGTCTCTGTCCTATAATAAGATGGAGACGTCTCTATAATAAGTGGAGACGTCTCTGTATAATAAGATGGAGACGTCTCTGTCCTATAATAAGATGGAGACGTCTCTGTCCTATAATACGATGGAGACATCTCTGTCCTATAATACGATGGAGACATCTCTGTCCTATAATACGATGGAGACGTCTCTGTCCTATAATAAGATGGGAGACGTCTCTGTCCTATAATAAGATGGAGACGTCTCTGTCCTATAATAAGATGGAGACATCTCTGTCCTATAATAAGATGGAGTCCTATAATAAGATGGAGACGTCTCTGTCCTATAATAAGATGGAGACGTCTCTGTCCTATAATACGATGGAGACGTCTCTGTCCTATAATAAGATGGAGACGTCTCTGTCCTATAATAAGATGGAGACGTCTCTGTCCTATAATAAGATGGAGACGTCTCTGTCCTATAATAAGATGGAGACGTCTCTGTCCTAATAATAAGATGGAGACGTCTCTGTCCTATAATAAGATGGAGACATCTCTGTCCTATAATAAGATGGAGACGTCTCTGTCCTATAATAAGATGGAGACGTCTCTGTCCTATAATAAGATGGAGACTCTCCTGTAATACGATGGAGACATCTCTGTCCTAGATGGAGACGTCTCTGTCCTATAATAAGATGGAGACATCTCTGTCCTATAAAGATGGAGACGTCTCTGTCCTATAATAAGATGGAGACGTCTCTGTCCTAGATAATAAGATGGAGACGTCTCTCTGTCTGTCCTATAATACGATGGGAGACATCTCTGTCCTATAATAAGATGGAGACGTCTCTGTCCTATAACGATGGAGACGTCTCTGGAGACGTGGAGACTCTCTGTCCTGTAATAAGATGGAGACGTCTCTGTCCTATAATAAGATGGAGACGTCTCTGTCCTATAATAAGATGGAGACGTCTCTGTCCTATAATAAGATGGAGACGTCTCTGTCCTATAATAAGATGGAGACGTCTCTGTCCTATATAATAAGATGTCTGTCCTATAATAAGATGGAGACGTCTCTGATGGAGACGTCTCTGTCCTATAATAAGATGGAGACATCTCTGTCCTGTAATAAGATGGAGAGATCTCTGTCCTATAATAAGATGGAGACGTCTCTGTCCTATAATAAGATGGAGACGTCTCTGTCCTATAATAAGATGGAGACGTCTCTGTCCTATAATAAGATGGAGACGTCTCTGTCCTATAATAAGATGGAGACATCTCTGTCCTGTAATAAGATGGAGATGGAGTCTCTGTCCTATAATAAGATGGAGAGTCTCTGTCCTATAATAAGATGGAGACATCTCTGTCCTAATAAGATGGAGATATCTCTGTCCTATAATAAGATGGAGACGTCTCTGTCCTATAATAAGATGGAGAGACGTCTCTGTCCTATAATCCGATGGAGACGTCTCTGTCCTATAATAATGGAGATGGAGATGGAGACGTCTCTGTCCTGTATATATAAGATACGATGTAATAAGAGACGTCTCTGTCCTATAATACGATGGAGATGGAGATGGAGACGTCTCTGTCCTCTGTCCTATAATAAGATGGAGACGTCTCTGTCCTATAATAAGATGGAGACATCTCTGTCCTATAATAAGATGGAGACGTCTCTGTCCTGTAATAGATGGAGACGTCTCTGTCCTATAATAAGATGGAGACGTCTCTGTCCTATAATATAATCTCTGTCCTATAATAAGATGGAGACGTCCTCTCTGTCAGACATCTCTGTCCTATAATAAGATGGAGATCTCTGTCCTATAATCTGAGACGTCTCTGTCCTATAATAAGATGGAGACGTCTCTGTCCTATAATAAGATGGATGGAGACGTCTCTGTCCTATAATACGTCTCTGTCCTCTCTGTCCTATAATAAGATGGAGACGTCTCTGTCCTATAATAATGGAGACATCTCTGTCCTATAATACGATGGAGACATCTCTGTCCTATAATACGATGGAGACGTCTCTGTCCTATAATAAGATGGAGACATCTCTGTCCTATAATAAGATGGAGACATCTCTGTCCTATAATACGATGGAGACATCTCTGTCCTATAATAAGATGGAGACATCTCTATAATCCTATATAATAAGATGGAGACATCTCTGTCCTATAATAAGATGGAGACATCTCTGTCCTATAATAACGATGGAGACGTCTCTGTCCTATAATGCGATGGAGACATCTCTGTCCTATAATACGATGGAATGAGCCTTGTCCTATAATACATGATAGCCGATGATTGTATTGCTGATATGTACACAGCACAGCACTGATTATTTTGTTGGGGGCTCTATGCTGGCCTTACACCTGTAACATTGTGTTAAACATGTTTCATTTTCAGAACATTTTGATTATCTAACAGTTAAGGGGATGATTCTTTGTAAAGTGCAGCCAAAAAAAAAAGATAAATGAATTACGGGGGTTAGTTTTGTGGCATCTAATTGGAAGACACAAATGTCCAATCTTTGAATTGGATCCCGGCCAGGAAAACTGATAACTAATCCTATGCAGATGTACTCATCAAATATTTGTATAGAAATGGAGACGTTGACTTGGTACTCGAAGGAAAAGTCTTTTGAAATGAACGTTGTCTATGAAGACATCATCCATTGGTTGGATTAGTCATTTTTATAGTTTGTCATTGGAAAGTCCAAACCACATTCTACACCTGTAAGGTCAGCTTTAGTACATACAGTCTCGCTCTTTTGTTTTTTTGGTAAGTAAATCTTCTCTGTGGGGGAAGCGTCTTGTTTTTCATCATCTACACATGAATGATGGGGGCCATGACCTGACAAAGACTCCATTGGGAGTGAGAGGTGGCCATTGTTTACCTGAGGACTGACCTTACAGGAGATGCCCATTGTTTATTGTTTACCTTTAAATCCTGATTTCCCTTCTTTGTCTAGAAGACACACCACAGAGAGAACATCAATTGTGGAGCCCTAACCCAAAATGGACATCCAGCCTTGTCATCATAATGCATTGAGGTGTCATTTTGTGGCATGTTCAGTTCCTGGGATGTTTAAGGTAACACATGTTAAAACATGTTAAGGAACCACACCAATGCCAATGGACCCTTGAAGCATATCTAACCCCATCCCCCCCAAAAAAGTGAAACATTCTTGGCTTGTTTACCACTCTGTATATGTAATGGCCACATTAACCACTTCCCCCCCCCCCCCCCCTGTACACCCCTATGGACCTCATTATATGTCTGCTATGGCAGGGCTTAAAATTTTGAGTCTAGACCTACTAGCCAGGCACAAACCTTACTCTCTAGCAGTTGCCCCACCCAACCTTGCCCAGGTCCATCTCCAACCCCAGCCCTGTCCCGTCCCCCAACCCAGTCGCCAACCCTGCCCCTACCACGCCCCCTTAAAGCTTATGAAATTACATTTTTCTTTAGAATAAAGAGTCCAAAATATAAAAAACTGCAATTATAACATATCTTTATTATGTCAATTTAAACATAACAGCAATAGCTTAATAGCAATAGGGTGCAATCAAAATGTCACATTTTACAGCTTTAAACCTGTAGGAAACATTTTGTATTTTTTTTGTTTATCGACTCTCTTTACTCTTTTCGAAATCGTTTTGCCCCCAGAGCGTAGCGCAAAAAATGTCATGTACCTTAATCTGGAGGGTGTAGTGATGTGCACCATTGGCGGGTCTCTCCTTCAAGTGTC